CTCCTCAACCAACCAACTACCAACTCCCCCGACCCACCACAACATCATCACCATGGAGTACGAAAACGAACAGCGCGGCTACGATGGTTTGTCTCCCGCCCTGTGTGATGCCAGCGCCCTTACTGACTGGTTTGCAGATGAGCCTCGCGGCTACGAACGCGACCGCAGCAGGTCTCCGCGTGGTGACCGTCGCGACGATGGCGCGCGCGCCCGTAGTGCCTCACCTGGCGGCCGCGACAGCCGGTATGTATCTGCCTGCTTGCTCATGTAGATGGAACTGTCGCTAACGAATGCCCAGTGGCCCGCCGCCAGAGCGCAGGGACGATGACGATGAGAGCCGCAACTCAGGCTCCAACCTCTTCGTCACCGGCATCCACCCTACTCTCAGCGAGGAGGAGGTCACCCGTCTCTTCGAGAAGTATGGCGAGGTAGAGCAGTGCAACATCATGCGCGATCCTCACACTAAGGAGTCTCGCGGCTTTGGCTTCGTCAAGATGGTCACCTCCGAGCAGGCTGACGCAGCAAAGGAGGGTCTACAAGGAGAGGTCCACCAGGGCCGGACACTCAGCATTGAGAAGGCTCGCCGTGCGCGTCCTCGTACTCCCACCCCGGGCAAGTACTACGGCCCGCCCAAGCGTGGTAAGTCTGCTCACTGTCTGCAGCGTACATGCCGTGCTAACTACGTTTCAGAGTTCGGTGGACGTGGCGGCCGGGGCGGCGGCCCTCGCTACAACGATCGCTACACTGATGACCGCCGCGGCGGTTACGGCCGACGCGATGACTACGGTTCCCGCAGCTCAAGATACGACGATCGCGGCTACGGTGGCGGCCGTCGCGACGACTACGGTCCTCGTGGCGTCGACCGCTATGCCTCTGACCGCAGCTACGGTGGCAGGGATGGCGGCCGCGATGGAGGACGCGATGGCGGACGTGATGACCGCCGGGGTGGTGGAGGTGGCTACTACGACAGGCCTCCGCCCCCAGCTGCTGGCGCCTACGACGCCCCTCCTCCGCGCGAGGCGTACGGCGGTGGAGGACGCTCGTACGAGGGTGATTACGATCGCTCATACCGCTAGCTCCCAGCTGACACAGGCAGAACCCAAGCGGTACTAAGTTAGGGTTCGTATGGCTTCCTCGGTTTGTCGCCTCTCTCTCAGCACTTCATTCCTGTAATCCCATGGCTACTTCACTGGGTTCAGTTTAATACGGCTTTCACACGCACACAAAGGAAATGTGGTCGACAAAAGTTCTTCGATATGGTTCGCAGCAAAGTGGGATCATACCACGATCTGGCGTCTTGCAGCTCGACATCGTCTTAGCCCTTCGTCGGCTCGGTATTTCCTTGGAGAAACGGTTCAGCACTTCGGTAAATGCTTTCGGGGCAACGTCTATAGCCCTTGGGAGCACCAGTCATCTTGATCGACACCAAATTGTACTTCTATCTACTGCCTCACGATGCAACCTGGACGTCCAGTAACCCGTCCACACCACCTTCCGCATGACCAGCACTGTCTAAATACTCTTCCTATCATCCACCATGACCGCATCCATGTCAACGCAGCCCCGACCCAGTAACATTAATGGGCTTGCCAGCATCGACCCCCGACCATCACAGCATCTCGCACTGTAAATTCGCTCCGACACGTAACGGGTGCTTGAGGTGTATCCACACAGCATTTAATTTGCGTGTCGGTGTCGCGCAACTCGAACAGCATAGTTGGGCAGCTTGCCTGAGGTCCAAAGTCCACGCCAGAGCCCGTGATGATAGCTCGCAGACGCGTCGCGATTGCTCCATGCAAACGAGGCGGTGTGTGCAAGTCTATGCTCCGGGGTGAGGTACATTCGAAGGTGCGTGCCCTCCAATCTCGTTTGTGTTACTTCCTTTTTCGTCACTCGTGCTTTCCTCACCATGCCACTCACAAGCTGAGTCGGAGTCATGCAAACGTCGACTGCATAACAAGGTAAAATCGTGAACGCGACACTTACTTGATCTCGGCGACAGTAGAGCGGAATGTTGGCATCGTCACCAACTTGTAGATGTATGTGCTGCAATGAGCACACGGTGCAAGGCATTGCGCAACGGCTACGCCGCAACATCACACATGATGCTCCCGCGACCAAAGAGATTTAGTCATCTCTGTCGCACACATGTTATCACCACTATAGGACTCTGAGGCGTCCACTGTCGCTTGATGAATCAAATAGCCAACGTCAAACCTAATGTGCGGCTAATTCTCCTCAGCCCCTGCAATATTTGCAGTTTCCGTAGAGCCATGTAGAATGCAAATCATGCCAAGTTCATCTTTGATCATGCAGAATGCCCATGTGGGATACACTTCGACGCTTGTGCCTGGCTAAAGTCTTAAGCTGTTCTTGGAGATCCACGGCAGCCGTGGAGCCGCGGGGTGCCCCGACTGAAAGGCCGATGCAGGGTTGGATGCAGCCTGCAGCTGGTAGCGGGCCGTCTCTGGCTTCTAGCACGACCGACCCTCAGCCCAAAGTCAACCGTCGCCATCGCTGCGGCGTCCGTAGCGGGCCACAGGTGCAACGCCTGTGTCTTGTGCGCTGTGACTTGAGTATAGCGTAAAAGACAATGGTCCTGTATATCTGGTCTTTCCGCGATGCGTCGCCTCTTTACTCATACGCGCTCCGGTGGCCTATGTCATTCATTCGTCGTTCCACGTTCGTCACTGCGGAGCTTTCCTTCGACCAACCCCAGCTGCCGCGCGGCGACTCCACCAGCACCGTGAGCTTGACAAGTCCGATCCCAAATATGCCCGGCTAACAATGCGACAGTATAAGACCCTCAGAATCTCACGCTGACCTTGGCGGTCAACGCCTTTCGCCCCCTGCCAGTCGTTCGCTCCCAACTCACGCAGGATGACCCGACGAAACGTCATTCCAGTCCTCGCGCTAATCCTCACGCTATCCGTAATCGCATTCTTCTACTCAGGAATAGACTCTAGCCAGGCATGGCGGGGTCTACCACAACATGTCGGTCTAGGAGACCACATTGGCAGTGACGAGCGGCCACCTCTGAGTACCGGCATCGCCGAGCCCTCGAAAGATGCGACCCAAGACCCGGACTATGCGAACTGGAACCCGACCCCCATTTTCAAGCCAGGCTCGCCAATGCCTGCAGAACACAATTATACCTCGACACTGGTGATTGCCAAGACGAAGCATGAGAGTGTTGACTGGATCCTAGACAAGATGCCAGAGCAGCAGACCGCCGTCTACGTAGCCGACGACCCCTCCGCACCGCTGCATCCGCCCAAGAACAAGGGGCACGAGGTCATGGTATATCTCTCGTGGATCATTGACAACTACGACAACCTCCCCGACGTCGCCATATTCATGCACGCGCATCAGCTGTCCTGGCACAACGACGAGATTCTCGGCAACGACGCACATCTGCTCATAAGCCGACTCAACCGAGCCCGCGTTTGGAGGGAAGGCTTCGTGAACATGAGGTGCAGCTGGAATCCCGGCTGCCCCGATTGGATGCACCCGGCAGAAACCGAGCTGAACCCTCAAAAGCAGGAAGAGATTCTCTTAGCCAAGTCGTGGAGCGAGCTCTTTCCCCTCGACGAAGTACCCACCGTTCTCGCACAACCTTGCTGCGCACAATTCGCCCTCTCCCGAGAACGCATACAAGCGAAGCCCTACGCGCAATACGTCTGGTACAGAGACTGGCTCTTCAACACACGTCTATCAGACGCCCTCAGTGGACGCATCTGGGAATACGTATGGCAATTCGTCTTCACGGGCCAGAACATCTTTTGTCCCAAAGAGCACATCTGTTTTTGCGACCAATACGGATCCTGTTTCGGGGGAGAAGAGCAATACGCGAATTTCATTGCCCTCAAGAACGAACTCGGAGACCGGGAAAGGGATCTCAGAGCGTGGGAGGAGAAGCGAAAGGCGATAGAAGAAGCAACGCGAGACAACGACCAGACAAAGCTGCAAGATCTGGAAATACCAGAGGTAGGGAAGGACGCTGAATTCAGGCGGGAGATCGATCGGCTGAGACCCATTGTCGACGGCCTGAAACATGATGCTGAAGTGAGGGGACAAGATCCTCGCAATCGGGCAGAGGAGTTGGGGAGGGAGTGGCATGAGGGTGATGGCTTTTAACATTCTTCTAGATACCCTGGGTTTTAAGCGGCGTATCTTGTCGTGCTGTATGGCGTTGATTTGCTATGGGTTTAGAAGGGCGTTATTGCATGCTACTTAGGGGTGGGATACTGTTGTAACAAGATGAATAATACATCATACACTACGTTCGCAGCATACTCAAGTCCTTCAATCTTACCATACCGTCATGCGAACAGTTGAGGTTGCCCCGATTCGTCAAGGTTCAGAAAGGCGCTAGGCAAGATAGCTTATCTTAGCGTCCCAAGTTCGGTCACATGCGCGCGCGCGTTATGCGTGCAAACAAGACAAACTCAACCCCATCCCGAGTTGATTTGGCCCGCTGCCCGGCCCGCTTGTCGTTCTCACACGACAGCAATCAGGTGTGTCTGCTGATCTGATTTCTACCATTTCGCGTCAAACCAAACCACGATCCTAATCTCCGCACCTCGATGCCAGCTTACGTCGCCGAGACGGATCAAACTGCACTCCATCCTCTCCTCTTGTCGGGTCAAACCATGCTTTGCCCTCTCCATCGAATCGCAAATGATGCTCTCTTGCGCCCAAACCAAAACATGTCGCTGCTTCGGTGTCAAACCAAACCTCGTGGGCGCTTGCATACAAAAGAGATTCGGTGTCGCGCTCGCTCTGTAGACATATCGAGTCGATCTCCATTCGCAGTCCAGCTTGCATGAACTCAGTTGCTGTCTCAATCTCAACTTTTGATCCAAAGACTTACCATCTGTGCATTGACAGCTCATACGACCGATCCCTCCCAGCCCTGTTTGGCTCCTACCGTCTGAGCCGTCTGATCTCGGGGGATACGAACCACGATGCGGGCAAACGTCGACGCGCCATACTACCAGATGCGCCCCGGTCAGTTCGTCACCACGCCCAACAGTACAAACGGTGCACCGCCCCCATTCGTGTCCGACGACGATGAATATGACTTGTCTGGTCCCGTTCCCCTCGCATCGCCGCCCCAACACCATCTCAACACATACCCGTACGCCGAACATACTGCCCGTCAGACGTCAGACGATCACACACTGGAAGAAAACCATAACCTCGTCGAGCTACTAGAGGCTGCGACAGCTGCGGGTCAGGCAGCATATGCTATGGATACTGGAGATGCTGTAACGGCGACTCTCCCATTACAGGATAGAGGCAAGAGAAAAAGAGGTATTAGCCCCCCGGCCGAGGATGCATCGCATCATACCGGTAGGTCTGTCAACTCTAAGCGACTTAGAAGTGGTGGACCTACCGATCCTCGGCTTCGGGACCAAGGCCATAATGTGCAGGGTGACTCTGTCAATGACGCTGTACCGCCTTCCAGCGAGTCTCTGTTGAACGATGCCCGTGCCGCAGGCGTACACTCAGCTGCTGCTCTCTTCCGCCGCTCCTCCGAAAGAACGTCTCGCAAGTACACACGGCCGCCAATGTCAAAGCTGTTCATGTCCCTCCAGCTTAGTCCTGAGAACTTCCTTCAGCTACAAGCTTTAGCAAAAGGCTACATGCTCGACACATCACACCCTGAGCGGCAGAGCTGCGTTGGAAACCGTGGTAAAGGCGATACAGATATGGTCAAGTTGCGGCTCTTCAACTGTGTCCGGGACTTCCTGAACGAAGGCGTTGGCGAGCAGTTCTTTGGCGAAGATGTGGAGAAGCCGGGCGAGAAGGACGCGATTGAAGCTGCTCGCGCACTTGGAGAAGATAAGACTCCTGATGCCGGAGAAAGACTGACATGGCCAAGGGACGGCAACAAGATTATTAGTCTCGTTACTCCGTTGATGCGACGAATGGTCACGAACGAGCGGCAGCGGCAGTATGCGATCGAGACCAGAAAAGGTGGCGCGAAGAAGAGAGACAAAGAAGCTAGTGCTGAAGCTACGCTTCAGCAAGGTGATGACGATACAGGACGTGGAGTCGAGCAGCATCCACAACCGGTTTTCGATCGTAACCTGGATCATCCTGCGCTGTCACAGCTGACAGCTTCGTCGACACGACGCACAACTGCAACGCCTCAGCTTTCTTTCCAGGGGAAGGATGGAACGTCAGACTCCAGAGAAGCGGCAGAATCCAACGCAACCACACAGCCAAATTTGAAGGTAGGATCAACTCCTTCATGCTATTAGTATGATTGACGCTGCTAACTCATCAAACAGTTGCCCACGACCAGCCCTACGGAACCCAATCTCTCGCACATCAACATCTTCCTCGTACTTGCCTCATCGAGCGGCAAACCAGGCATCAAGCTCGACGAGAAGCGCATCATAGCCGAATCACAAGCACACTTGGCATGGTACGATTACAACGACTTTATGCGAGAGGTCACCTTCCTCCTCAAGGCCGCCAGAGACAGATACCCTGAACTCGACGTGGGCATAGGGTCTCCGGACGTTGAGCCCGGCACAGACAACCTTCGTGGACTCGCTGCTGCCGCCAATGCACTGCAAACGGAGCATGCTCTACACGGAATATCTTCCCCAATCAACGGTCTCCCTCAATCATCCGAAGATGACAACGCTTCTATCCTTCCCACACCCACTTCAGCAGTGAGCACTCGCCCCGTGTTCCCTGTCGACAGTCATGCGGAAACCAAGTCTCTTCCCCGTCACGCTATCAAGTCTATTGGTCCACAGGGATGGCGTGACATTCGCAATGCGGATGATTGGTATAGTGTGCTGAGGGAGAAGGCATTTGCTGTTTGGGCTGATGGTGTGTGCAATGTGCTTGTTGAGCTTGTAGACGTTGCTGGGGTGGTGGGGTAAGTTTAGGGTTGGGTTTGTGAAAGGTAAGTGTGGTAAGGAGCTTGGTATTGTGGAGTATGTATTCTATGGGAGTATGTGTTGCCTCGTTCTATTGCTATCTTAAATCGTTACATGATCTGATAACCACCTCTACAGGCAGCTTTATCTGTACCATGTCACCCGTCGATCTCAATGTCCTACTCGGATTCAATTATGGAGCCTCTTCTTCCCCTTCTTCGCCTTCTCAAGCACCTTCCCCCACCACTCCTCGCGAATCACTGGACACTTTGGACACCATTTATGGTGACATGCTCCACGGCTACACCGACCAGCCTGGTCCGGGTTATGCGCCGTTCGCTTGATCGGGGTGCCGTTATCACATACGCAGCATTCATACTTCTTGCTGAAAGCCCAGTGGAAACGCCAAGGAGGGGTGTTCTTCCATGTTCGAGCATAGCCTAGTGGAAGCGGGGGCTTCTTCTTCGGTGCGGACCCTTGTCCTGGAGTGTAGTTGGGGTGGCGCACTAGTTGTCCTTCACGGGTATCGTAAAATGGTAGTCGAGAGTAGTCATGGTTGTGGGTAGCATCAGGGTGGGTGGAGAAGGGGTCTTCGTTTTTGGCAGGCCGCTTCTGGGTTGGGGTGGGTGGATTGGGTGGAGCCATCACTACCGAAGTGAATTGATTGCGGTGATGGTATTTGGCGAGCAGGTAGCCGGGGCTTTCTTATAGATATGGACTGACAGGAGATGATATGAGCCTGATGTTGATGATAATGATTATAGTCAGAAGAACGAGATATATATGAGCGTGATGGAGATCTTGTGATAAAGATGAAGGCATGACTTTGTTTGCTTGGAATTATGAGACAGTTCAGGTGGTGTCTGGTGTTCCTGACGGTGTTCTATCATCTTCGCATTTTACGACAACACATGTGGTGTTTGGTTCGCATGGAAAGAAGTGGTAGTAGCGAGGGGCCATGATTATTGGTCTCATTCGCAAAAGACAGAGCTCGGCTCTTCGCTACATCGTTATACACGATCTACGGCATGTCTAGCTGCTCTCGTACCTATTCATTCGTTCATTGTCGCATGTCAGCTGAATCAGCACGTGTGAAAGCGCCGCAGTCGGTCACCTAGGTAGGTAGGATGTCATCCCACACCGTCAACCTCGGATACATTGGCCATCACAACTCATCGAAAGGGAAAGTCAAAAGCATCTACAACTATCGTTTAGCAAGTGCAACATAATCCCCAACATACCGCCTTTATGCACGGCCCTTCCATCTCATGTCTCCCCGTGCCCAAAACTGCGATAAGGTGTGTATCCTATACCAGGCGCCGTGCGGTGTCCGTGATAGGCAGGCGGTGCGCCAAGCCATGGATTGTAGCGAACGTCGTTCGCCCAATTTTACCCCTCCTTGTCAGGCACATAATAAGCTTTCGGAGGCTGGTAGTGCGCGCCTGCACCCTTTCCAACGTCTGCGGTTACGTCAAGCGCGCCCGATGTGACGGACTGGATCGCGCTTTTCTGTGGGGACGGTCGGCCGGAAGTTTGGTGTTCGGATACGGCACGGTTTCGATGGGTTCTATGGAGTTGGGGTTTGGGCCTGCCTATGCAATCACCTGGGTTGCGTTCAGAGCTGGAGCGCACCGATGCTACCCGCGCATTCAGGGCACGCAACATGATGCTCTTCCCCCGCTGACGGTTTCTCAGAAGGTCGCCGCTGCACTGTGACTTCATCTAGGTTCGAAAATCTTCGGTACGGATTATCTGGGGAAGCACTATACGAGACATCCGTACCATGGTACCCAGTACCAATCAGTTGCATGCATGGAGATCCGACAGCCTCTACAATTTCGCTATCATGTTACCGATCTTGGCAGGGTGACACAAGCTGTAGATTATGGATGCTCGTGGTTCCATCGAAGCAATTACTATGCTCAACTGATCGACCAGAGAGGATCTTATCCGGAGTACCAAGGCTACTGATCCAAGTCCAGTATCTGCCGTATAGCACCTCTGCGATCTCAGCTCTCACCACCTCGTCACGCACGAATCTGCATATCAGGCAGCTAGGATGCCTATTGAAGATATGCGGAGAGTACGACTGTCGGTGGGCGCGGTGTAGCTACACATTTCTACATCCACTGTCCGTCTGAACGTTTGCTCGTTGAAGTAAAGTGCGCCCTTCTGACCTCTTTCCACGATGCGAATGGCCGCAATTTACCTATCCCTTCCAAATGAGAAGTGCCGTGCCTCTCGGAGGTTTACACGGGAGACAAGTGCCGAAATCTGGAATAGATTGCCTTGGTGTAGCATTGTGACTAGATCTTTAACATGAACGCGGGGATTGCAAAACATCCTCGCCGTTATTGGCCACATGCAGCAGTCTTTAATCAACGGGTAAAGCATATCGACACCAGAGACTATCAACACCATGTAGCAAGGGCGACGAGAAGATACCAAGGCTCGAAGCCATTCACGATCCTCCTGCTTAAGATTGCGACCCGTCCTCCGCGCATCCTGCAGCAAGTACACTCCCGCACAAAACATACAAAGACATACGACAATGAAGTGGTACCAGTTCGCCGCTCTCGCAGTGCCAGCTCAGGCCGCCCTACGCTTCGGATGCTCAACCCTGAGTATCCAGCGGCTTGATCCGCTCGTCGAGCCAGGCAAACTCCCTTCAGCTCATGTTCATCAGATTGTTGGTGGTAATGCGTTCAACGCGACCATGCAAGAAGATCCATCCACTTTGGCTACTTGCACGACGTGCACGTTCTCAGAAGACTTTAGGTTTGCAGCATCTGTTCACTCCATCCAACAAACACTGATAGATATAGTAACTACTGGACTGCCGCTATGTTCTTCAAGCATACCAACGGCTCGTACAAACGAGTGCCTATTATGCAGAACAGTGCCCTGCCCAACGGCATCAACGGTGGCATGAGTGAGTGTTGACATACTGGACGCAAGTGAGACACATACTAATCGGATGTCTACCTTTTCGCAGCCATCTACTACACACAGCAAGACTTTAACACGAATGGCAACCAGAAGATCACTGCGTTCCCCAAGGTCAGTCATACTCCGACTCCCTCAGCACACTACTAACCCAACCCAGGGCTTCCGGATGACTGTAGGTTCGCCTACAACCAACACGGTCGAAGATGCGAAGAAGCACCCGGGTCTTCGCTTTGTATGTCTGCAAGACAAGAACACCCGCTTCCCCGAGAGCCCAGACTTTCCGCCCAAGGCCTGCAAAGGTGGCATCATGACTGTACATCACTTCCCCTCGTAAGTTGTCTCCCCACAAACACTACATGCGAGATGTATACTGGGTTACTGACCAACACTCAGCTGCTGGGACGGCAAGAACGTCGACTCGCCCAACCACCAAGATCACATGTACAACACAGCCAAGGAAGCCTTCACTGTCGCCGGCGCATGTCCGTCTTCGCATCCAGTCCGCATGCCACAGGTTGCCTACGAGACCTTGTGGGATACTACGCAGTTCAGCAACATGTGGCCCAAGGACGGCTCCAACCCCTTCTTCCTTTCTTACAACGATAACAAGGGCTACGGTACCCACGCGGACTACCTCTTCGGCTGGAAGGACGATAGCCTGCAAAAGGCAATGGACAACAACTGCATGTTCCAAGCTTGCGAGAATGGAAGGCCTTTGAAGGTATGTGATTCAGTATGGGTTTTTGAAGCATGATGTGGCTGCTAACGAGGAATTGTAGAGCCAGAATGTCCAGGCCATGAACCAGTGCCAAGTCAAGAGCGCTATCAAGGAGAACATAGATGGCTGTAAGTTGTCCTTCCAGTCGCGCTGTGATGTTTCCGTACTGACAGTCACTGCCAGGGCTTGACCATATGCCCGGTATGGCGATGTAGACGAGCGGTAAGGAGAAGCACGAGTCAATGCTTGTACTTTCGGCGATACCAAATTGTGATCTACTTCATGTGGGACTTCGTATCTACACAAATTCAGTCGTTTCTGAGTCACGCTGTGTCGTCACTTGTGCCATCGTGCCATGTCCCCGGAGATGTGTTTGTCTCTGGGGTCAGTATCGATGAAGACCGTCCCGCACCGCAGTCTAGACTTTTCGGCAAGCGAACGCGCAAGCCATCATGTATGCTTTTTGTCCCATCCAGACCCTCAAACGCCACATTCCAGCCCATCCAGACATACTTACCATGCAATGCTCGTCGACTCCATTGTGAGCCGCAGATATAGACACAGCTTACGCACTAGATCATGCGCGCGACACCGTGCAGTGAGATGCATAGCTCAGCGGTTTCACCACCAGGATGGTGCTCCGATGCAGCCCGACCTTTGCGCTGGCTCCACTGTGATGCCATGTGCCAGGAACCCGCAATTGTCAGACAGCGGCGGGGCCGTGCAGCCACGGAAACCACGTTGCGGCCACGTGGTGAGCATGCATTTCCATGCAGGCGCTCGGACGCTTGATGAAAGGTTCTGTCGTGTTGCCGCTTTGGGGAGCATGTGGGGTGGGGAGGCGATTGCGCATGTGAGGTCGTGGTTGGAAGGTGTATGGTTTGGTGGGCGATGGGGGACGGGGTTGAAGCTTGGGGTTGCTTTGGCTACTGAAGGGTGGGCAAACCTTATCGGCGAAGCACCCTTCAGATCATTTTGACGTGCATTTCCTTACATGCGCTCGCCAAATGTCAAATGCGGTGGTCAAGATTAACTGGAATGGAAAGGGGGCGGCACTTTGTGCCTTGACGTCTAGCTGCTCATTGCCAGACTGCAGCGTCCTCCGGTGCCCAAACATCAGGGCGAGCTGATTAACTAGTGCTAGGGATCGGCTGCAGTCACATCCAAGGAGCCGAAGCTGCATTGATTAGCCACCTGGGACCTCGGGCTGATGGATGCTGGGGTATGCAATACTCTGTGAGTCTCCATCATCACTGATCCCGCTTCTCGAGGTATCGATGTCTCATAGATCATGCAAGGAGTTGTTCGGTCATGGAACAGGCGCATGGCTCATGACAGGACCAGACCCGGAGCGGCAATGGACGGGCACCGGTGGAGACGAAGCTAAACCTAAGCAACACGGGGCCCTGTAGCGGCCAACGTGGGTTCTGGGTTCCCGCCGAAAACGTGGCATAGGCGATGCAAGCGTGGGCGGTGCTCGAGCGGATTGGTCGGGTGTCGCGGTCGGCGTGAATGGCTTGAGTGGAGGCTGACTGCATGCAACTCACTCAGCACTTTATCGAAATGCAAGTATCCCTAGATGCAGTATCCTTACGTGCGGCCGTTTCAGAGCCGTCTGGTGGTTGTCATGATGCCGGTGGTGGCAGTGGTGGTAGAGGGGTCGCTCTTTCCTTGCTTACAGCCGCCGCTGCCTACATCACCGCATCGCGTTCCTCGGCGTGCCATCTGCTACGCGTCTTCACCACGCACATACCGTCGCCTGTCTGCATGGCTGACGTTTGGCAAATCCTATCAAACATCATCGCCGCCCGTTGCGACTCGCTAACCGTGGTCCCCCTGCGCGTGCATCTTGCTACTCACGCCGCCCCTTGCCGATCTGGGCCCTTTGAAACGCGCAGGAGTAAGACAGGCTGAGCACAGGACTTCTACCGACTACAACACCCATCTCCTCGCTTTTCTCTACAAACCCAGCACGGACAACGGCCTCTACTGCTCTGCTTGTTTGCGCCTGCTCCTATATCCTTCAATCGCAGTCGTACGATCGTAGTTCCGGCGACCTAGCAAGCAGCACGCTATCCCCACCCACCTACTAACCACCGGACTCGCCGTGGCGCGCATCATGACAAACTCTCTTGAGTCTTCGCGGCCCATGCTTGCCAACGTAAGTCATTCTCCCGTATCCACTGCCCGTTTCAGACGTCCCCTGCGTGTGGTCGATGCTCGCCGAGCACCTGCACTGCTTGCTTGACTATTCACTCCTTTGCGCCTTCCCTTCCCTTCACACTCACCACACAAACACCTGCCTTTGCGCTCCAACACACCAGCACCAACACCCATACCCACACCACGCCGCGACCATGTCGGAACAAGCACAGTCTAACGAGAAGAAGTCGGCCGCAAACCGCGCATCAACCCGCATGTCTACCTACAGCGCCACACCCACCCTCACACCCTCCATCGCGCCCTCGCACCTCTCACAAGCCTCGTCAACAGCCGGCGACCCCAAGTCACACGACATCAAGACATGGAATGCGGGATTTGACCGCCTCGAAGACAAGCGCCTAGTCCAACAACGGTACGCCCTCAACGAGAGGAAGACAGACGACATGAGCAAGCTGGCGCTGGGAGCAAAGCTGGATCGCGCACTCGCCCGCCGCATGTCGGGTCAAGACGCCGTCTTCCGGCCGAAGGGCGCAGAGAAGAAGGAGATTCAGACATAAGCAACGAGGACAGTCGCGAATACCAACTTTTTCATCTTTTCGTTCAAGAGAGCCGAGCATTCGACAGCTGCTCGCAGCCACAGCCGGCCATGCACACGGTCATATTCCTTATGGGGCACAGATTTCGGAGGTTTAGCATGCGAGGTATGTCCTCTCGCGAAGGAGAGCGAGCACATACTGAGGCGCCAGGCGGCATGTTGCTAGACATGGGTGACAGTCGAACTCGAATCACTGCATGCAGCAGGGCATCAAGGCTGCGAGTGCGACTAAGGAGGACTATACATCACTCTTCGAGGCATGATGGGCCTCGAATTGAGAGCTCTCTGCGACACTACTATACCAAGGCGTTTACAACTTTCCTACTACTAATTCCACTTTCCGTTTCCAATGCTGCATCTTGTACTGTCAACGGGCTCTTCTGCTTCTCCTAGCGCCTGACTGCGTTCCACACCTCCTCTACCGAAATGCGAATGACTACGAAACACCCCTCTTCTTATCAGTATTTCTGCACGTGAAAAGGATCATGAATCGCACAACGCGCGTCTCGCAATCAATTCCATGCCATCCCGTCCGCATCCCACATCAGCCCGCGCCTACATCATCAATGCCGCGATTTGATTGCTTGCACGCGGCACGTCAAACGTCAGTGTCAATTCGCGGCTCGGCACACGCTGCATGCGTGTTGATCCCTTTGTTTGTTTGGTGCTGCTGATCACCATACTTGCATGCTGTTTCCGCGCCTTGCTGGCGTCATTGTGGAGAATGTGATGGGTAAGGGGTTTTGCAGGCCGCTGGTTTGCTGGCCCAAGGGACCCCTTAAGATCGGCGCTCGGAAGGACCGCTTTTGGGTTGACGGCCTCGGGGACCAATGTGGCGGAGTTGGGTCCGCGTCTGACAGACTTGACAGGAGCGCCGCGAGGGTGCGCCGTTGGGTCTATTGAACATGTAGACTTATCGATGAGAAGAAATAGTCTATTGTGTGCAAAGTTTTCTTTCTTCACTTTTATATAAGCTAAGGAGAGTTTTCGCGGAGAGAACGGAGGTCGTATTTCGATAGATCATTCGCTTTCGTGAACTTTGTGTTCGCTCCATCTACTATTGGCTGCATCTGCTCGTTATTTTCAGATACGCATACGAGTTTCGCATGATGGTGCCCCATCGCAGACTATTGGGTATATCTAGTCACATTAAGAGCGCGTTACTCCGTTTTCTATTCGAATCCAATCCTATGCTCCGAGTAGCGATAGCATGATATGCCTGCGATTGTGATAGGTACTGAGTACAGGTATTTCTGCTTAGCCTCTTTCCCTTCCACCATCTCCTCCTCTTTCGCTATGCCAGTTCTTTCGCTCTACCAAAATTTGCCGGTCTTTCTCCGCTCGTTGGCCAACTCTAGCTGTTCCCTGATCCCCCTCAATTCTCCCCTGTGCCTTTCGTGCGTCTCCTCCAGTAACCTCGCATGTTCTTTCTTCAGTTCCACGAACTCCTCTTCCAACTTCTCATGCCATGGGTAGAGCACGAAAATTTGGAAGCAGAGGGCTGAAGAGCCGATGAGGAAGTTTGTGAGAGAAAAGGTGCGGGTTATCAACATGGCGAACTCGATATAGCTGGGCGCTTGTCGGAATGATCTAATGGAAGGGTTGGATACAGAGGAGCGTCCGTTGATGTGTAGAGGTGCAGATTCCCAAGATGGGTATTGTGAGGAGACGTTCTTTCGTGTTTGACTTGTGTGGCACACTTCCTGCGCCAGTGGATCCGGGTGGTGATGGACTCCTCGATCACGAAGGCCTCGGAGGTAATGTTGAGCAAAGTACAAAGAGCGTGAAATAGGATGAATACGCGGTAAAAGGGAGGAGACCGCCAGCTGTGCGTACAAGCTGCACTTTACGACCCAAAAGTCGCTCAACATCAAGTCACATGCGACACTTTCTTACATTCCAATTGGAACTTGGTCATGAAAAGTGGCATGATGGTTACTGTTTTGGGCCAAATAGGACTAAAGCCGAAAGAGAATCAGACCACCGCGCGAAACGAACGGCATGGCTATGCATCGGCGTACCGGTACATTATCGGCGATTGTGAGGGCTGCTCTTTGCTTGAACTTGCAGCGTAGAAGAGAAGGAAGGATTTCATGTGTCACAAGAGATCTACTTTGGTGGTGCGTCGTGGTGATGAGGGAGGCACGCGACACCTGAGCGTGTACTAGCGCCGCGCTAACCCGAATGCCAACGCGCGTTGAAAGTGGGAAGAGCTCTCCACTTCTTTGCTTTATTGCAAGCTGAACAACTGCTCTTTCAATCCGAACGCATTCTTTTGATGGAAATGTCCAATTACCTTTGAAATGCTGGCAGTCAGACAGCAGACCCTAATGACGTTCTCTTCGGCGACTTCAAGCCTACGTCATCATGATACGAGTCCACGGGACCATCGGTAGTGCGGGTATAGCGCATCTATGTAAGCAGTGACACAGCAGCATCGATGCTTCCTCTTCAAGAAATCTCACATACGAGAGACGCTGCCAAGTGAGAGCAAAAACACAAAATGACGACCCCCAACATTGAGCTCCTCACAGCGGCCACACCCAACGGCCAAAAGATCTCCATTTTCCTCGAAGAACTCGGCATCCCATACAAGACCACCGCCATCGATCTATCCAAAGACGAGCAGAAGTCCGCCTCATTTCTCAAAGTCAACCCCAACGGTCGCATACCCGCGATTGTAGACCATAGCCGCGGCTCATACCCCGTCTTTGAATCTGGAGCCATCTTTCTGTACCTCGCCGAGCACTATGACAAAGACTTCAAGTTCAGCTTCCAGGATAGTGACGAGCGGATGGATATGATACAGTGGCTCTTCTTCCAGAACGCCGGCGTGGGCCCCATGCAAGGACAAGCGAACCATTTCGTGCGCTACGCCCCCGAGAAGATAGACTATGGTACGAAGAGATACAAGAATGAGACAAAGCGCCTCTACTCGGTACTAGAAGCGCGACTCCAGGATAGAGACTATCTCGCAGGCAAAGGCCGCGGCAAGTACAGTATTGCGGATATCACGACCTTTACATGGGTTCGGTGGGCACCATGGGCGGGGATCGAGATGACCAAGTTTCCGAAGCTAAAGAAGTGGTGCGAGGAGATCGAGGAGAGAGATGCGGTCAAGAGAGGGCTTTTGGTGCCGTCGGGCGAGGATCAGATTGAGAAGTTGAGGAGGAATCCTGATGTGCAGGATCCGTTTAAAGCGTGGGTGAGGAAGGGCCAGAAGGAGATCGCAGATACGCATGGGAACTAGTAAGCCCACAGTACAAAACGTTGCTAAAGATAGTATCTAGGAAAGCATACATTGCCTTAGAAGCTATCTAGTTATTGACAATCAATTGTATGTATATAGCAACATGCAACACGATTTCCAGCCACCCTTACTGGCCCTCCTCCATAGACCGGCGCGTGATCCTCAGCATACCCCCACTCTCATTAATGAAATCGAGAAAACCTTCCTCGGGGTTACGAGAAACGTCGTAGAGGAAGGCATGACTTAATTCCCGAATTTTCAAAGTTCCGCCCTTCACAAATTGAAAGATAGTAATGTTCTTGAGATTGGGAGCTAAAGGACATACCGAGGAACTCTCCATGCTCAGCGTATGATCACGACTGATGGGTCCAGTATGAATGTGATACGGCTCCGCATCGTGAGGCGGGAAAAACTGTATCTCCAATAAGTCATGCTCGCCGAATCCCTCGGCAGCACCAACAAGGGAGCCGTAATGGAAGGTTACCTCGAGTGGGGGCAGTGTGGCGAAGAAGGTCAGTGACGCCCATTGAATGATTTCTTGGTGTAGCATCTTACGAAAACGGATCAACTGCATCCAGCGGTTGACGCCCATTCCTTGATACCAGAAGTTCCCATCAGCGCGTTTATGTGCTGTTAATAGAGAAGTAAGGACATGGTAGGCGATAAGCCAACGTGTTTCGCGCTGCAGATGTTCGACGTGCTGAGGGAAGGCGGACTGGTCGTAGTACATGAGGGCGGCGCGAATACATTGCATCACAATTTCGCCTTGTAGGCGATCTTGTAGCTCTGTAGCCTTTAGGTACAGCTCTGACTTGTCGGTTTCGTGCGCAAACAGCGCCATGATAGCTGCGCGACCTTCGTCTGTGAGACCTGTAATCTTGCGAGACGGTGGTTCTTTATAGGTTTTTGTCTGCTCGATAATCTGAGATGCATTGCGATAGTAACATTCGTCCAAGAAACGGGGAAGAGCAGACCAGAAACCGTCTTTCTGCAGGGCGTCCTCAATAGTCGGGCCAGAAGGATACAGCAGCTGTGGATCTTCGGTCTTGTAATCGTTGTATCCAATCTGGCTGTGAAGTACTACAAGGCTGTCATAGAGTTGGATTGTTTGCTGGTAGGTACTGTTCGAGTTATTCGGGGGGTCCACAAGCGGCTTTGGAATCTTCTCGAAGAGCTCACGACGACAAAATGGACACAGATTGCTGACCTCCTCTCCGTCTTCCGTTGCAAAGGTTATGAGAAGACAGTCTTTGTGAAAAGGATGTCGAGAGCAGTGAGGGCTTGGCTCGACGACTTCCTGGACCGGATACTCCCACTCACCACGACATATAGCACACCTCGGCTCGTCCGCTGGAGGTGGGACTGAGCGCAGGTTGGCAATATATTCTTGTTTCGGCGGGAGCCATTCGAGCTCAGCCACGGTCCCGTCGCCGTATTCTGTGGGCATCCTTGTCAAGCGATGCGCGATCGAGAACGTGGTGTGGTGGGTGAAATGGAAGCGAGCAATCACTTAACCGTCCAGAGTAGAAGCTCGTGTGCCAACAATGCGCAATGGCTAAGTTGTGAAAGTACAAGAATCGGGATGTAGAAATGTGTTCTACCGACTACATTAGTGTACAAGATAATGGACAAAATCCTGGGGTAATGAGGACTTTCAGGATATAGATGTTCATTTCTCTTCTTGCATGAGATGCTCCATCAATGGCGTCGCCAAAGCATCTAATTTGAACTCACCATGCAAAACCTATGTCTATCGCTTGTGACCGAGTCTAAGCCCATATGATATGCCTTCTAACCAGATTTACCTCCTCGAAGGTCGAATTTGCACGTTCGCCACTCTTCCAACTATCGATATTAAGCGGTGGGACTGCCGCACTTATCAACGACCTTTTCTCCGCGCAATCTGGATCTTCGATGGGCTCAGGAGATACTGGCGGGGGCGCTGGCGCTCGCTCAACCTTTACAAGCATCGAAACCGTATTCAAATCCCCATTTGGTATGAAAACACGGATTTCAGTAACCCATCGATTGTGGCCAAACTGTTTCTTGTGTTGGAGGAGGAAATACATTACCATCACAAGGTTCGGCGATCCTAGAAACTGGTAGTTAGTGCATATCCTATGACTGTTGAGACCTTGAGAGCTTCTGGTGAACATATCAGAGAAAGCTGCAATCGTATACATACCCAACAGAGCAATGAAGTTCTCATTCTGAGCAATGAAGTTCACATTCTCAGGTCTAAAGGTGTATCCTGGCGCATTCGGCACAGTGTTCTGTCCCATGGCTCTGCTGATGATCTTGCGCGTTTCCGTGTTCGCAACTGCTACCGTGAAGAAATAGTTGATGTTGGAAAGGCTTTCTTTGCTATGCCTATTCCAGAGACCCCAGGTAATATCCGAGGTTCTTTGGAGGGCAGGCATTTCGTCCGGCTTGACGGAGGTTACCCCCCATAGCGTTCTCGCCGCGTACGTGGGGCTCTCAAGGGTCAGAAAGAAGATAATACCAGCCTTTGGATTTATTCCAATGGTGGAATCCGCGCCGGTAACCTAGATCAATGTCAGCTGCATTGCGTCAAGTTTTAGCAATATCAAATTCTACGTGCTCACATACCCTGTATCTGCGCCCATCAACTTTGTAGTATTGTTCCCTAGGATCGTCTGGTACTTCACCGTTCTTGTCTTTCTCCAAATAAGGGCCGTCTTGATGTTGAACTGTGTGACAGATGTTGTCCCCTCCATCACGTGAATCTCGATCATCTGCATGTAGCTGTTTGAGCATATCTTGAAGGCCGTGGTTTTCTTTTCCCATGACACAGTTTTCGTCAGAGTCTTCGACTTCCGGCCAGTCAGGTTCCGAGTAGCCCCAAACTGCTAGTTCGCGTTCGAGGGTTCCATCCCAGATACTAGTCATCGGTTGATAGACCTTTTCAGCCTCTGGAAGGTTGAAGCTCGTGGCTAGTATCAACTTGCGGCCTTTGGATAACGCAGCATCCCATAGAATGTCATCGGCGGGTCCTGTCGTGGAAGTGTCGACTAAAACGGCGGTTTCGACCCTGTCTTCGTTGATAGCAGCGCCGGAGATATTGGAGTAAGACGAGTCGAAGACGTCAGCGATGGCAGAGGCGAGAAGAACGGCACTGAGCGCCAAGAGCTTCGATATCATCGGGGTAGAATCGAACGCTGGTGGAGGTATTGGCGAGAGTCCAATTGTATTCAAAGTGGAGCCCCCTGGGTACATATTTAAGTTGCTGGCGCGTCAAGGCCACACAGGTCCGGGCTTTTTTCGTCTGTAGCAATGAAAGGTCAACCAGCGCGAAAGAGCAGAAGTTTCCTACTCCCTATCGGAAATTTGATATATGAACGAAATGAAGCGTCGTAGCTACCGAGAGTCACTATATCTTACACCGTGTGGATTTTACTTCCTCAACTGGCGTTATTGATCCGAGTACCCCAAAGATGAATGCTACCTAGATACACGTACATGTACGAACGGATCGCTCTGAGTAGACGAGCCGTCGTCGCAGCCTTCGAGATAGATCTCAAGTAGAAACTTAGACAAAGATGGTGAAAGGAGCTGCTGATATGGATACTAGCAGATAATTGCAACATGGAGATCATGGGCGGTATCTACAAGACATAGTTTAGCCTAGTAATTCTCGCCATCGCCTTCCTCGTCATCGTCATCTCTACCTTCATCATCACATTCATCGGATGCCCATGACGAGTACCACTCATTACTCATATCGCGCACGGTATTGGTACCGCAGTGGACCTCGCCGCCGTAGTTGTGATGTGTGTTCCAGTCGTCGATGTAGATGACATCCATACCCACACTGGCGTACAGCGACTTGAGCTTCTCGGAAAGAACATCCGTTCCGTTCACAACGGGGCCCCAGGGGTTGGGGGCAATGTATGTGTCGAAGTCGGTCAAGACAATGCCGTTAATAACACCGGGGAAGAGCGCACCGACCTTCAGCTCATCTGTTGCGTTACCAGAAGAGTTTCCGCCAAATGTCGAGCCACTTGTCGCATCACCGGAAAGAATTGCGGAGAGGTCGCCGAAGGGATTTCCGTTGAACATCTCAGGTAGGCGAATAATCTCGTCGTCGGTAACTCCTGTTGCTTCCTTGAGGATCTGCAGATTGCCCTCGATACGCTCGGCGCAGCGCTTCTGCACAGACATCAGGTCCTCATTGGCAAGCAACTCACTGATAGTGATTGGCGGCACGGGAATAGCAGCACAGGCGAAATCGCTGGTGCAGTTATCAGATGATTGGCTGTCGTTCTTGCGCGAAAAGGCGTGCTCTGAGCCGTGTCCATTGTCCTTTAGCTGCTGGAGCATTTCGACACCCATCATGGGATCGGTAACCATAACGACCCAACCTCGGGGCGAATCGACAGGAATGAACTGGATAAATTCGTCAACGTGGCCGATGACCAGCCAGTCTGTATCGAGAAGGAGGGGATCTTGCGTCTCTTGAGCTTGGAAGAAGGGAAGCAGGAAGTGTTTCTGCTCGCCATGGTTGCCAAGAATCAGACGACCTGCAGGCCAAGTAGTGCCATTAAAGTCGTAGGGAGGAATAGTCTCGATGTTACCACCAGAGTTGATCTCATCGCGGGCACCACCAAGCTGCTGGACAGCACCGATACCAGTGTCGCGGTAGTATTCGAAGAGCTGTCTGCCGGCAACGCGCTCGTCCTGGGGAGAACGGATCATGATACGCAGGGTGATGGGTCCGTCGGGACCGGGCATCGAAGCGAAGCCAGGCTCCATGAAGTCCTGCGCCCAGATATCATCGCTTCCGGAGAAGAGGTAAAGTTCCTCTTCGAGACCAGACTCGTTGACGGCTGTTTGAAGGGCGTCGGTGAAGCGAAGGATCCATGGATTGCCAGTCTCATTACCTTTGACAGCAATGACCTGCTGCACAGGGTCGAGATGAGTATGGGTGAGGACAGGTGCAGCGCGAAGCATGACATCATCAGAAGAGGCACCTATCGAGCTCTCGATATCGAAGCTAATAGTAACGCGACCGTCCCAGCCATTGGGCCGACGGGTGTCACGTCCGTCCACGCCGAGGACAAGACCCTCACGCAGAGCGGCTGCGCTGAAAGTGGAATTGCCGTCGACATAGCCCCAGGTGCTGTTTTCGCTCGCCTTGTGGAAGATGCGGACATACTTGCGCTGCACGGGGTCTTTGATGTAGATGCGACCATGAGCGTCATCGGGAAGCTCAGGCAGAGGAACTGTGCGGAGCGGAGCGAGATATTGCTCGGAGCGCATGACATTGTCAGAAGCATCGTTGCAAGCATCAATTCGCTCGTTGCTGACCGAAGGACCGTTGAGGAGGGCGTTAGAGCAACGCTTGTTCGTGTCTCCAATGTTGGGGAGAAAGATGGCGCCATAGTCGGCAGTCCACTCAGTCTTGCCGTCGCAGTCCTCGCAGTCTTCCCCGTCTGTGATGTCTACCGTGCCGTCCCGATTGGTATCAGCTCGGATGTCGGCCTTGACCTTGCCGGTTGTAGATGCATTGGTTGGTGTTAGATCGATTGATGCGTCTGATCCACGCGAGACGACTCCGGCAAAGGCGGGACACGCAAGGCCTAATATGTATTAGCTTTTGTCCATCTGAAAAACGATTGAGTAATGGGTAAGCTTTGTCTGATACTTACAGAGGCCTGAGAGAGCAAGAAGCGCTTGAGAACGCATCTTGAAGCTTGCTGGGAACGATGGATGAAAACAGTTGCCGACGCTTCACCTGCTGTTTCTGGGGTGGCCGTTCTGGAGCAGATTGTAGATAGGGAACGAGATGATCTTCTACTCAGTAGAGCGTTGCCTCTATATACAGCTTCCCGATAGCGTGGACGTCACCGGCCGATGCCATTCTTGTTGTCATGACGTTTCCGAAAAGGGCGTTGCGTCGACAAGAGGCTGTGTTCTGTGTAGATAGGCATCATACAGCCGGCGTATAGCTTGCACGAAGTTACCCGAAATGAGTCGACTCCAGTAGCTTGTTAACGAGATCAGTGGATGTTGTGGATGCCCAAGTGTTGTCGCAGTGGAGGCGGAGGTGATGATAGTCCGATTGGGCGTTTCCGACCGGCGGATTATACGCTGGAGCCAATCAGGGCCGTCGTGTCGGGCCGATAAGATGAACTAGAACGCATGATCGGGACTCCCGTCTCCTTGTTCTTCCTAACAATTGCGCGTCCTCTCAGCCCTTACTTTGACTGTGGCTTCTGTGAAAAATAGCACCGCCTCAACCATTTTAAGTTTTGTGGGTGAACTCGTACTTATAAGGTGAAGTACCCGACATACGCCACAGCCAATAACATGATCATGGATCTGCCGGTATTGACAAAGGGCCCTCGAGTGCGCACCTTCTCTCCCAAAGTTCGCACAGGATGTAATACTTGGTACGTTCTCCAGAATCGTGGTGTGATGCAGCTGCTTTCTCTTCTTTCGTCCCCTCTTCCCACTCTATCACCTCTGTACCTGCGATCCTTAAGAAACACCGTGTCATACACCAAAGATGACCTTTCTGCGCGCGACAATTTGGGTGGTTGACACAACAGAGCTTTTGCTAATGTGCTTTCGCAGCAAGTAAGTGTGTTTGGACGTTATCTCGCCAGTGCACCACCTCTTTCTTCATACCAGGATTGCCAAGGTTGTGTTCCGCAATTGTGTATGGAAACAGCGTGGCATCCAAGATCGCCCAACGTATCAGGCTCAACATACTGACATGCCGCGTGTTGATCTACAGAATACGCCGAAAGAAATGTGACGAAGAGAAACCAACCTGCCGTCGATGTAGAGAGGGCCAAGTGAAGTGTGATGGGTATGCGCCAATGCCACCTCAAAAGAAGCAATCACCTACTGGAGAGAAAGCCATCCAAGCCTCTGCGGCAAGCAAGTGCACCGTCGCTCGTCGTCAGACGCGTAGCATATCCCCAGACGTCGGGTCTGGCTTCGGCCTTTTCGGTAGCGCGCGCGAACGGCTCTTCTTCTACCATTTCTGCTCCATCACCATCGTCGATTTCGTCCGTCTCGCCACTCCGAAAGACTTCTGGTCCCGAAGAGTACTTCCAATGAGCCATAACGAGCCTGCGGTGCGACATGCAGTGGTTGCGCTCGGTGCAGCCCATCAGCTCTACCTTCAAAAGCTTTCAGCGCCCTCTCTGGAAGACACAAACGAGTCCATGGCCCGTCTGGAAGTCATCGCCACACAGCATTATAACAAAGCCATTGGAGACTTAGTGAGCATCAAGAATTCCCAGACGGCAACAACCGTTGATGCTGAGGTCACGATTCTGACCTGTTGCTTACTCTTTGTATGCTTGGAGAACTTGCTTGGTCGCTTTGATGAGGGCATCCGTCACATGCGAGCCGGCGCACGCCTGTTGGAAACATGCAATCTGTCGGCCGCTTCAAACGACTCCAAACAGCTGATGCAGGAGATCGGGACCGTGCTAGTTCGCTTTGGTGTGGACGCAGCCATGCTTGTCGACGACGAAGATGTCATCTCCGACATGACGCCATACGCCACGCCATTGATCGAAATTGACGAAGAGCATACACCATTCTCGAGCGTTCCAGAATGCAAAGAGGCGCTATGGGACCTGGAAATCAGGCTCTTCAACAACGATTGTAGTTGTGATGGAGATGAAGAGACCTTGATATATCCCGGCCCAGACAGCGATATGATGGAACTTATCGCATCTTTCGGACGTTGGAAGAAGAAATTCGATCTCCTTGTCTCAGATTTAGCTGACTCACGGAGTTTACCGAAGGAAGTCCAGCGCGAACTGCTTGTCCTCATGCTTCGCAGATGCGCACTGGAAATAATTCTACTCCCAGAGACTGAAGACAACGAAGAAGAGCTATCGAGGCTCAACTATGAGCTCCTAGACTTGGCAGGTCATCTGTACAGTATGGAGGCGTCGTGGTTAGGACGGCCCATGTTCACACTCGATAGCGACACAATTCCTTCGCTGTTTTTCACAGCGACATTCTGCGAGGACCCTATCTTGGTCCAGCGCATCATCGCTCTTTTACGCCAATCTCGACGACGAGAAGGCCCTTGGGATAGCTGGGAAGCTGCGAATAAGCTTGAGCTAGGGCCAAAGAGACTGTGTAGTGTTACTACCTAGCTGGCTCGAATCTATTTCATCACTCCTACTATTATCAACATCGCGTGCTCTGCAAAATATCAGTCTTCATAGATATGCTCCGCCCTCTCTTATCGTAAGCCCACGTAGTAGCGTGTTACACTTGATTTGGCCGTCGACATCGCTGCAGGGGAGATTGAATGAAGTATGGATGAGAGGAATGTTTATGATAAGACAAGGGCCACTAAGCCAGAATATAGAGGCTGATGCGTTCATTCTGTACTGTAGTAGTGGGAGGCGCCCGAGGTGAGTAAGTACAAGCCGTTCGCACTAACGGCATTAGGAAAGAGATACAGCGTGCTTGTGCAGCGACATGTCTGCTACATTTCGAAAGTCCGATCAGAATGATAGAAAGGCGGTTCTTCCATTTGCACAACATAAGAGGGTCTAGTAAAGGATCTATGACACGTAACAACCGTTCCCCAAATCCACCATCTCTCCTAATTCCTCAACCTCCTCCTCTTCTACCACTTCAACCGGTTCCACCACCCTCGCCCCTGCCTTCATCAGCACTCTATCCAGAGCCTCCCCTAAAACCGCCCAATCCCACTTCTGCGCGATAACCCACTTCCTCAACTCGCTCAGTTCCTCGTAAAGCTCCACAGTCAGACCAGCTACCTTGTGATCGGAAAGTAAATACGAAAACAAACAAGCCTCATGTAAAACCACTGAATCCCCCAAGTTGAAAGCTGGTATCGAAACTACCGGAACACCTCTCTTTGACGATGCAGAAGAATGTATGTGTCTAGTTTGGTGGAGATGACAGATTGCGCAGCGTTGTTTGGTTGGATCGGGAGAGGTGATGGGCGATAGGTCGCTGTAGAGTTTGTCGTTGGCGGGGGAAGGTAAGAGATTTGACGAGGTGGTAGTGTAGTTCAGGGGGAAGGGTGTTGCGGTGCCGAAGAATTTGGACGAGTTGAAATCGAGGTTGGAGTGGCCGAAGCGGATTAGCTCTGGTGGGGGAAGAGTCGGCTTACGTGCAGGTGCCGGCATCTTGGACTTTGTTGGTCGAGCCATCGGTGATGTCGGTTTTGCAATGCTGGAAAATGACTGGAAGAAGTGGTTATAGTCGGAAAAAGACCCAGGTGGGAAGGGTGTGTTTGAATCGTCGCAATCATTGTTCATGAATAGTCTTTCAGATGGCGTCCGCCAGGTCCTAGCTCAGACTGTCGACTGCATCAAGAACATTGTTAAAGCGAACACGATCCCGGAGACTCGCCCACCTCATTTGATGAAGAACCTAAACAGGTTTGCAGCATACATCGAGATGAAAACACGCAAAGTAGATGGATCAACGTCAACGTAGCCTCCAGGGCGTTCAGCTTTTCCTTTGTTTGGCCATGTCCTCCACCTCTTTTGATGGAAAAATTAAACGGGTTTGCAGAATACATTGAGACAAGAACACGCAAAGCAGATGATTCCACGTCAACGTAGTCCCAGGATGTTCAACTTTTTCGTTGTTTGGATACCTCTTCCAGCAGTAGCTTCGTGTTTAGCCGGGCGCGACTGCGGTGAGCGGCTGCTTTTGCTCTCAGTAACAGCAACTCAGGAGTAGCCTCTACTGCTGGATCGGTCACTGGTTCATCCCGACCGTCTTCGGCTGACTCTTCGACTGGTACATCAGCAGCACGGGGGTTCCGCGGCCGCGATGTTCCATCCAGATACAATTCGGATATGCCCAAGGATGCCCTCGAGACGTTGACTCTCTCCCGCGCTGCTTTCATCCGCGCTAGTCGCGTCTGTTCATCTTTTTTCGGGTATCGTCAATGGACCTTGTAGACGCTCTGGTGGTGGTGTAAGGTCCGTGGGGGACCTGGCTGGCGAGGCGCTCGATTCTGCTTGCGTAGATGATTGCGTTGCAGATGTTGTGCTTTCTTTGATCGAGTTTATACTGGAGTCGATGCATGGCCTAGACGGCCGAATAGTGAAGAAGAACCCCATCGTTGCAAATTGTGATACAGACGATTTAGCAAGTAGTGGCTTCGATATGCAGAAATTTTATACAATAATAAGAGCAGATGGTGAATTGGTACAGTAAACTTTGGGACGATTTTGAGGTTGGTGAACCATGGTTGCGATATTGGGTCACCATGGATGACTAGAATTCGCATCTATGTTGCTGCATACACGTTACTAAAAGTTGACAATCAAGTACCTCATGAGGCAATGTATATTCCTAGCCCACTTTTCATTCCGTAGAATGCGACAAGAATCGTAGCCACTCTAGTGGGGTACGCCAATCTTCAACCACAACAGCCTCATCGTCCTATTCATCCACCTCAACAACAAAGACATCCAGATCGACATCTTTGATATAGGGCGGAGGCGGGCTCGAGTTAAGTGCGGAATATTCAGGTACTGGCTCGTCTTGAGCAGGGACGACCAGCCACCTATCGACTTCAACACGAAGCGGTTGATGATCGGCCACTGCCATTTCGTAATCGATTCTTCTGCTCCTCGACCAACGCGATATTTCAAATGCAAAGCAGAAGATAAAGATGTGGAGGAAGACGAGGGTGAGGACGAGGACCGTGTCCGATA